GTCGCCTTCGACAGCATCGGGACCAAAATCGCACATCTTTTGGGAATAGGGTGCGAAAGGTCAGAAGTCAATGCGCTAGGTTTCGAGAAGTCAACGCATTTCTGCTTAAGCCGATTCTCAATTAGAACTGGAGCAGCACTCAGTGTTTTGCTCTTGGCGCACATAATGAGGGGAGCTCTGCTCCTTTAGTGCTCTAATCAAACCGTCCACCGGAATATATAATCATAAAAAATTCTGCAAAGCGCTAGCAAGAAAGAAAGTAAATTGGCAAGGTATGCCATGTGTAAAATGTGGAATATTGTGCTTTAAGAAAAGAAAAAAACTTTTGCTGTAAAAATCTGCACTTTGGGCATGACCACCCGCACATTCTTCGCACGGAAATATTTTCGCTGCATTGTCTCACTTTGTAGGCTTTGTTAGTCATTTGTCATCATTAACGAAGAAAGTACGGTTAGGTTGAAGACTGTATATTTACTGTACACTTATCATCAAACTCGCCCACAGCTAAAATCCAGTGGTGCAGAGAGAGGGGGCGGGTGGAGGGAAGGGATAGGGCCTCCTAAAAATGGGTCGCGAAAATTTCTTACAAGCTACTGCATGAATTATGAAATAGTGCAAGTGACTTGTTTGTACTTGTAAAGATGAAATAATTATCAGAATTTCTCAAAAATCAATTTAGGCTTGCAATATATTGAGTTGGTCCGAAAGTTCTTGCGCATCATTTTCAAAAAATCATAACTTCCTCGCCATTCAATTTCGGATTTCGTTTAAATTATATATATTCGAAAGAGAAATCCATGCTCTTTACAGCAGTGCCTCAGCCATGGATTACTTTGAGAAACTTCGAGAGTTACAAGCAGTTGAATGAAATCAGTCAAGATTGGCATTTTTCGAGCTGGATCACAAAAAATTCTGGAAGTGTTTTTATTTGATAGAGAAAATTTTGCGCATTACAGTGGTACCTTTCCCATGAATTAAAACAAAAAAGATCGAGAGTTAGGAGCAAATAAAAAGAATTGCTTCAGTTTTGCAATATTTGAGCATGCTCAAAAAAGCCTAGAAACGTCACAGAAAAGGCGGAAAAGTCATGAACATGGGTTTTGCGACGTTTTCTTTCTAGCTGAGCAAAAATCGTGTCAATCTAGAGCAATTTTGTTTTTCGTGATTTTTTCGGATTTTCGGGTCTGCGTTTTTCAGGAAAATCAAAATTGCTCTCGATTAGCAGGATTTTCACTCAGCTAGAAAGAGAAGGTCACAAAACCCATATTAATGACTTTCCGTCTTTTCTGTGACGTTTCTAGGCTTTTTTAAGCGTGCTCAAAAATTGTAAAACTGAAACAAATTTCTTTAGTTGCTCCTAACTCTCGATCTTTTTCGTTTTAATTCATGGGAAAAGTACCACAATAATGTGCAAAATTTTCTCTATCAAATAAAAATACTTCCAGTATTTTTTGTGATCCAGCTCGAAAAATGCCAATCTTGACTGATTTCATTCAACTGCTTGTAACTCTCGAAGTTTCTCAAAGTAATTCATGGCTGAGGCACTGCTGTAAAGAGCATGGATTCCTCTTTCGAATAGACATAATTTCAACGAATTCCATTGAATGGCGAGGAAGTTATAGTTTTTTGAAAATGATGCGCAACAACTTTCGGACCAACCTAATATTTTTTCCGCTACCCGAACAGAAATCTGGCACCAGTCAAAGACTTATAATGGAGACTAAGGATTGAACCAAATTTTCTTTACGAGTAAACGAAAGTATCCGACAAGAATGAGCAATGAAATTTAGTCTGTAAATGACTTATTCCTTGACAAAAGAGTCTTAGAATTTTTCTTCAAGTTTTTGAACACTATCCGGTTTCGGGTTGTTTTATTTTCGTAGTTGTGATTGTCTGCGTTGCAGACCCTCTTCCCCTCCCCCCCCCGCTTTTCTACATATAACTTTGTGCTACTTTGAGTTTGAATGACTTGATCGTCACAGTATCTTCCTTACTACTTTAACAATAACTCCTTCTTCCCCCCCCCTCCCCGACTCACAATCTTCGAATTGCTAACTCTCAAGGAGTAAAGAATTGTCTGTCTACTTGATTAATGAAGCCTTTGGATTCAGCAAACAAGCTGAAGAAATGTCTTGATCTGCATATCACAACTTCTACATCTAATTGTATCTTACTTCAACATAACACTATACTTCTGATACCGCGAAAAAGTTCGTTTCATTCAATTCCACATCATTTTGTAGTCATGTAACTTCGTATTCTCTTGGTTTCCTAGAGCACAAGCACTACTTCCACTGTGTCGTTTGTTAAGCACCTGCTTTGAGATTCTACGCTGCTTACTTGATAGGCTTTGTCATAGATTCCTGAGTTAAAAGCTCATTTACCTATTTATTTATTTGATAGCAAAAGGCATGCTTATCCAATACAATTAAAGAAGCACCACAGAACAACTAGCAACAAGAAAAAAACAAACACTCAACTAAATCAGCTCAAGTCCTGCCTGCGAATTTTTTTGGAGATAGTAAGGGATTAAGCTTATTTAGATGAGTATGGAATCATCACATTTGTAGAGGCTCAATGGAGTCTTTCTCATGCCCCCTGCTATTAGCGAAAATCTCTTATTAGAATGAAAATATCCCCATTAATTGACAGAATTTCAAACAAGAGGTTTTCCAGAAGCGATTACATAAAACAGCTTTCTCGATTACAACAAAAAAGTGATATGCTGATAATTTTATCATGAAAGTAGAGATTCAGTTTAACTATTCACTCAAATCACAGTTCCTGAAAGGTAAAAAGGTAGACGCTAAAATATAATATTCAAGAGTTTTAACCCCATCTTTTTGGCAGAAAAAACTGTAATGCTTTTTGAATTATAATCTCTGCCCAAAATCTGCTTACAAGTTTCTCCTAAAGTATTTTCTGAACAAAGTTTCATATTAGAAATGGCTCAATGGGCCACGTGTACGGCTATGATTGCGCGCTGCGTTGCTATGGTAGCCAAATAGAACGAGCTGCTTGGTTCCATAACAATTACTTCGTGTTCATTTTTGTTCAAATCATATGCTAATGTCTTGGATATCTTGTTCTGGTTCACAGTTGCTCAAATGACTTGAAATTTGCTGTTGTGACCGTTTTTTGCCGTGTGTTCGCATATTATTGTATATTGAGATTATAGAGATAAGCCAGATTTGTGTAGGCGACCAGATGAGAGCAAATGCGATTTTTCTCTGCTACTTCATATCGTAAATGGAACAACAGTATGGGGCAACAGTTTATACTTGAACAATTTTTATTGGGAATGGGTAGTAGTTGAATTAAATTATTGAAAGTGAAATTTTTTGAAGGCAAAATTTGCATCATTGTTGAAGGACCAAGCTTTCGGATATTTCGCGTACGGAAATCCATCGATACCTCCAAGTCTTAGCTGTCTGAGCAACTCATATTTCTTATACTTTATTAGTAAAATTCTTCCACAGACACTACTGGACATAACAGACTCTTCTTATGCCCTTGAAATCTTTACTTCGGAGGAAACTTCAGGAACTCTCCAAAATCAACATTTCAAGCGCATTCAGTAGGCTAGCAACGGCGTCTACTTCACTAAGCAAAAAAACTTCCAGATATGAAATTGTAGCTTTTACTTCGAATTCCTATGCCAAATCAATTTTTCTCCCGTCCAGAAAACTTCAGAAATGTAGATTGTCCAAAGCGGTTTAAGTCCGTCTTTTTCTTGCTTTTTTGAACAGTTTTTGCGAATGTTTTATCCTAGGCAAACTCGATTTCAAGATGTAATCCTTATGAAAATAGCAACCTTCGTACTATAATTGATATAGTTCGTTATAGCTTCGTTCCTATGACGCACCGTCAAGTTGTTTATAGATTCTAACTAGTAGTTCGTTTCCAACGGTTACCACAATCAAAGGTAGTAAGAATCACGTCGTAGAACTTCTTGCAATTCTAGAAATCACCACGAGCTTTTGTGCATATTTCTGCCATCAGAATGGCCAAACAATTTCTGTATGTAGCCAAAACGAATCTGTGACATTTTAAATTCATTGAGCCAAGCTACCTTATCCTTGAATTTGGAATAGTGATATATGCTGATAGAATAGCAAATTGGATGAAGATTGGAACTACTTCAAAATAACTCGCATGTTTCTTTTCCTCAGATGCATCCATTCATTGCTAAACTAAAGGCTGTTTAAAAGTTTTTATACAATTTGGAGTTAATCGGATACTGAAGTAAACCTACTGAACCATAATATTGGGCGACCTGTGTAGATTTCGGACTCTTTGAATACTACTTATCCTCAATTTTGTTTCTAACACTGTCGATATCGTATTCTTGTTTGCTGTTTCTATCCCATAATGAATATGTGGATCATCTTTCAACATGTTTTCTTGGATAATTCTGTTCAAACTAAAACAATGGTTCCAAAACTTCAGGTTTGGCAGTATCCTCACGCACCTGTACGAAATTTCAGAGCTAGGTCCAATTATGCCAGCACCAAATTTTCGAAAAATGTTTTTATGAGGAGCTTTTTCTTGAACCATTGCATCGCGGATGCTCAGTTTAAATTCAACCTCTGTAAGCTCAAACTGATTACTGATTACTTCTGCTCAGCATCTTGCACATTTCAAATATCAATAAACTCTTTACAAAAATGTTTCCTCTGCTACAATCATACATTTCGCAGCCATTGTAGCCATTTTGAATAGTTTGCATGAAATCACTATTGAAACAAACATTGCACTGCTCTCGATAAGTGAGCTTGAAGATGAAAAAGTGTTGGAATAGCCTAGAAGAAACTGTACTTGTACTTGCAAACTTACCCCAAAATGATGTTCCACAGTTTTACATTTAATATTTCCATTGTCTCAGGAAGTTTTCAAATTCTTCGTATCTCTGAGAACTGGTGCCATCTTGGCTTACATTTTTTTCTCCGTCGAGGCATTAATAATTTCACGGCCGTTTCAGATTGTAGAAAACTTATCATATGGTGAACGCTGAAGAAACACGAGCTGCCTTTTCCGGACTCATCGATAAGCCTCCACTCACTGACCAGCTTCTTGCTCGGCCACCATTCAAGTTCATCCTCGACGTTGTTACCTCTACCATCTCCAAGACAAGTTTTCTAAAGGTGAGAATCCATAGATTCGAGAATTTATAACATTAGCTGTTCAATGAGCTGTAAATAGAAGTAGGCGACTTTTCATTATGCTTTAGAAAAAATGGCATGCTTTGTAGGATCAGTTCCCTGCTGAGGATCTCAGCCCAGCAAAACTGAATGATAAGGCTGCGAAAATGGCATTTCTGGATTCGCTTATCCAGGCCCTCAACGATGGCTCACTGGACGATGTGAAATCTTCAAAAATCGTGGCAGGAAAGGAGCCGGAGCTCACAAATCTGGTATCGTTTTTTTGCAAAAACATAATACCATTAGCATTGAACTCTACTTCTTCGCTTTTCGTTTAGATGTTGATAAAACTTGCCGAACGAGCTCGTGAATATAAGAAGAGCAAAAAGTCGAGTAAAAAGTCTCATCACGAAGACGATGAGAAGGAGAAGTCAAAAACCAAGCACCGCTCCAAGAGCAAGGAGCCAAAGGAAGAGAAGACTAAAACAAGATCGAGTAGTAAGGTTAGTCAATTTATTATGTTGAACGTAGCAAAAATGCGCCTCAGACGGATTGTAAGTTCATCTCATGGAAGTGGGGTTTTTTATTTTTACCTATAATTTGAAGGCTGTTAATAGAGAAGTATCGAGATATAAGAATATTTCATCTTCTCATATGCACTACCTTCCAAAATCTGTACATCAGTTTTTGCTTATGCTTCGTTCATTTCGTAAGTTTTAACATTTATAGCATCGAGAAGAGAAGGAAAAAGACGAGAAGAAGGAAGAAAAGAAAGAGAAGAAAAGTTCCAAGGACAAGGAAGGCCACCATAAGAGCAGTAAGAAGAAAAGCGATGACGAAAAGAAGAAGAAGAAAGAGAAGAAGGAAAAGGAGGGTAGACATATTGAAGAAGAGGAAAAAGAACAATTGGAGCACGTTGATCGCGATATCAACAGTAATGTTGTCGAAGCGCAAGCGGATCAAGGTTTCGATGAACCAACATCTTCTCATGTGGAAAGTCCAAAGTGTGAGTTGATCGCTACTCTGATCTTTTTGATCACATTCATGGCTGTTTAGATCTTTCTCATTAAGTGAAAAACTGAATCTTCTGTAACTGAAAGTGACCTTTAGATGACAATGCTCCAGATGGAGCTGAACATGGTGAATTTTCAGCTCCAAGCAATGCTTTTTCGCCAGCGAAAACTGACGATAGTGGTGTTAGTGACATGACCGAAAGTCCTCGTCCACCCGTGCTTGATAGGTAGGTACAATATTGAACTTGTAAACCGCAGTTTTGAGTCCTTCTGATATTTGAATCTCTTTCATCTAGGCCGATGACGTCAGCTCTCGCCAGACCTCAGACATCGATGGGCCGTCCTGGAACCGCCGCGGCTAGACCAGCACCTCCAAAATTGAAAAGGAAGCAGATAGCAACCGTTGAAGAAACGAACGTAGCTGTAAGATTCTTTTTATAAACTATAAGAAATGCCAAGAACTTTGCTGATTTTGGAATCAGCGTAAAAGAACACTTTTTATGCTACAGCCCGTGCAAGCAGCTGCAGAAGTCATCACCGAAGCGGCACCAGCTGCACCTGAAGAAACATTTCTTGTAGAAGAAGAAGAAAGTGAAGACGTTTTGCCCGACACGTTCAAGATCATGGAAAATGAAGTGGTGTGTGCTAAAACATATTCTAATACTTGATGAGCTAATAAGTTCCTATCCAGCCTGAAGACGAAAGAGGAGGGCTAGTACAAAAGATGATAGACACGACGGCGGAATATCATGATGGAAGCCAAGAAACTGCTGACGTCGATCAAGGAGAATTTGCTCGAGAAAAGCTTAAGGTATGTATATTTTATCCTAGAGGAAAGTTTGTCAAATTATGGACGCTTAGGCGGAAGCGCTGCTAAACTCGTTACAAATGGTAACGAGAACTACGCATCCATTATCTAGGATATTCGACTTCGCCCAGGTACTTCACATTTCTAGATGCTGGAAAACTTTTGAATTTAACAATGCTCAATTTAGGAAGATTTGGATTTGATGATGAGAGAACTGGAAAAATGGCGAAATGAAACAAAGAAATATGAAGCGTCATTGAAAGATAAGGAAGCTCAAGGAATCGGTGACACTCAAAAGTATGACTTTATAACAATTTTTATGTGAACTTTCTCAAATTGGTGATTAGGCTGACAAACGTTCTGAGCCAGCTCGATGACGAAGTTGCTGATGTTCGCTCAGCAGTTCGAGCAGCAAAAGCAAGGATCATTTCCAACAATGAAAGGATACATGAGTTGTTGAATAACATCTAGTTAATGTTGAATTGTTGTTGTTTCGGTGGGTACTACACACTGTACATTTTACAATGTTTCTAAAATGGACTTCATCAAATGGGCGAACTTTTCCAAATGGGGTTAAGTTATCGTGTCTCTTGCGAACTGTAATCATGTCACATTTGTGAACCCTCAATACAAGAAGATATGCCATGAACAATTAACAAAGTGGTTGTGTGAATTTTTTGAGAGAACCATTCAACTCTGTTTTGTCTGCTAAGCAACTCCTTTTTCTATCTGCCAAATTTGCTATTAGATAGGTGAATGGCATTCCAAAGGAGCCTATATGTCACTTACGAACCTCTCTGTGAGCTTGTTACTTATACTATTCACAACTTTCTTTTCATTACCAGAGTCGGTGATTCGAAAAAAAAAGCTCATTTTCAACTCAGGATTCGACAATAGAAATGACTACACCATAAGTTCTGCATGTTAAAGCCGTTGGTGCTCAATTCTTTACACTCCTTCCATTCGCATTCTTCACTTTACATCAATACGAGAAGGTCCTGCACAGCCCGTCTCACTGTCAGATTACGGTAGGGCAGCGGCGCATTGGGAAATATGGACAGAAGAGTTGTTGTTTACCATCATTTATCATCAAAATGTAGCACCTATCCTTATAAGCCACTTCTTATGGTGACGAAAAGCACTGAGTGAGCGACAAAGTCGCCTGATTTACCTTCAATGCCCAGGTGTATCCCGGAGCAAACCGCTCAGTACTGTAGTCGACTGTAAGGCCGAAGACGTACCTCACGCGATTTCGGTCGCAACGCATTTGGCAATACTCCAATTGGTCGTAACTCATCTTAAGGGGTTTCTGAATGTAAAGATAGGGCAGTTTACAACCTTCGAAAATACGTGCTGTGCCTTTAGGGTCTCTAGGGTACCAGTGTTGATTTTGAAGACATCTGGCAAATTGCCAGATCGCGTTTCGATTGAATTCGCATGAGGTATTGTCTTGGGTCTAAGCCAGCCACGTAAGGGAGTCTAACTGATTCTGGCAATTTTACTGTAAGGCTGCTCACTTTTTTGACTGCCGATTCTAAAGCGGTTCATTTCAGGAATCATTCACGGATGTAGCGACTCAATGTATGCGCATACCTCCTGTATCGACACTTCCACGTCAAAGCTCAGTTTATGGGAGAGAATACGCTTAGCTCAAGTTAGCCGTAGTTTCAAATATGATGGCCAATGCCTTGTTTGTTAGAGAACTAGTTTCTAATTTGTAGTCGCTCATCTATACGGTTATCACTTGAGAAATTTTTATGTTCAAAGCACTTTTATGCTCGGTGTCAAAACTGCATAGTGATACTTATAGTCATGTCAACTTTGAGAACTTCGGTGAAGTTACGAGCACCCAGTAGGCTTGTTTTGCTCGTCATTTTACGAATAAAGATTTATTACCCGCTACTGCACTCGTATTGTCCTCGGCGTTTTACCACTTTCAAACTTAAGATGAACTATGACATTTCCAAACTATACCTAAAAATAGAGCACAATTTCGGACAACCATAATTTACCCAAATTATGACTTTTGTTCGAAAACAAAAGCATTTGAGTTGTAAGAAAGGACAAGTGTATATCCACGAATCCACTCTGCTTTTTTATATGTCTTTGTGAATGACCAAATTCTATAGGTTACGAGAACTGGTAATTCTAGCTTACTAGTTACTACATATACAAATATCAGCTGTAACATAAGTATGTAGCTTCTAACAAGAAAGATGGTAAAATTGACTCAATCGGTAGAAATATGTATAATGTAGAAGATTTCGGTTGAATTCCGTAAGAGAAGTTAATCTCTTCATAATCTTTGCACAATGGCATTCCGAGCTGGTCCTAAGCTCCACCTACAAAATAAATATTAAAGACGTCAAATCATCAAACTTTCTTGGTGAAGTTCATTGAATCGTGGGCTTATACCATTCTGGATTAGGATTAGACAGAATGTTACCCAAAATTTTTGAAAGCATTGCTACGCACTGAAGACGTGTTCGATAGTTTGATAAAGTTGTTTAGCTCAGCCTCACATGTTATATAATTTCTGCAAAATTTGCTGCTCAAGGATTGAGAACCGCTGCGGCCCTCGTTTTTTAGAAGAAAAATTCAGATTCAATTTAATGTAAGTGACCCCATGAAGAGCAAAAGCCAGTCATGTACAATACCAGTTAGATGGAAAAAAGGAATTCATTTATTTTGAGTGCATTCGGTAAACAATTATTCAATTACATATGTTACTACTCCAGACCAGTGGTGTACCCAGGATTTCCGCTCGAGGGGGGGGGGGAGGAAAGGGGGCGACATAGTTTTTTCTGATGAAGGTGCGTGGCGTTAGCAACGCATTTCAAAAAATTCTTGGTATGTTTTCAAAAATCTTCACGGGCCAATAACCCCGACATCTTTGAAAAAGGGGACGTGGCTGAGCCGCGCTCTCGAAAAATTTTTTTAGTAGGGCTACAATCAATTTTCAAAAATTTTCAAAAATTATTTCAATCAATTACAAGTATAAACAACTTCCTCGCACAACTTTATAAGTCATGTATGATTATGTGAACTGAAATTCAATATTAAAATTGTTTGTAAACATTTCGCATTTTTATCGAGGCTGTTGCCCATCAGCAAAGCACCTGCTCTGTTTATGAGGTCGGACTTGCAGATCTTTATTGAAATATCAATATCTAAATCTAAATAGAAGGGAAATGAAATATATCAATATTCAAAAAAAGCACTTTGTGCCGTTCAGGAAAAAAATTCTTGGATAGACAACGATCGGCTAGGAAAGAACAACAATAAGTATTTCACTGTATAAGGTAAAAAATGTACAGAAACAGACATGCTCCTAACGGTAAAATTAGAAGCGTCTACACAAATATTGGGAATGGCGAATGATAAAGGAAAAATGAAAAGATCTGATTTTTCCAAAGATTTCTGTCGCAAAGGCAGTGAAGCTCATTCTTGCATCATCTTCACAAACTCGACGAAACTGATTCGACCATCGCCGTTGGTGTCGGTGGCAGAGAACATTTCGTGGATCACTTGCGCATCATTCAGATCGGTGGTTTCCTTCAGAACTTGAGCCATTTCCTCTGAATTTTCATATTTTTGGAATACTACAAGTTTTCGAGGCTTTACGCAATTCTAGTGTGTCAATCGTGGATGGAACTTCTTAGCCGACAGGCTGGACTACTGGGATGGAAAGTGCACATGCACTGGATCTACGAGGGTAAACCATACACAACATGGATGAAGAGAAACGGATTCAACCGGTTTGTTCTTTCAAACAAACTAAAAAGAAGATCTCTTTCAGTAAATTACGTGTTTTAACACTTCATACTACCTACTTTAACTATTAAGTTGGCACAGAAGTTTTGCAACGGCTCGGCACGAGGTGGCTTTCCGGAAATGCAAAAAACAATGTTCCCCTTTTTAGCAAAATTTTACGAAGTCCCCTTTGACCTTTCCATAATATCCGAATAGACTTAAAAAACGAAACGTAGACTAAAAAACCTAATTTCGATCGAAAACGATATCCCCTTTGTTTTTTGTACCACGATATCCAGCTTGCTTATAAGCCACCTGTGCCGAATCCTGTTTGTAACTTTTCTCTTTTTGACTATGACGCATTCATTTCTGGGCATAATATAGAATAGATAGTAAGTTACAAATATGCGAAAACAGTTTGATTTTTGGTAGCAAAGTAAAAGCTTTATCAAATCGGTCAAATTCGAAATTTCAAGGGTCGGAAAAGCAAAAATAAAGCCGTTTTCATTTTGAATCAAGCAAATTAAGCCGATGTATAGATCATCAGACAATTCTCTCATATCAACAATTTGGGTACATCGGCTCGATTCGTTCGACTCAGACTAAGAACGGCTTTATTATTGGTTTTTCGACCCTTGAAATTTCGAATTTGACCTGCCTTCGAAAAATGCGTAAATTTTATCCATTTCGCCACCAAAAATCAAACTGTTTGCGCATGTTTGCAGCCTAACAACCTTATCTAAATATGTCCAAAAATGAATGCGTCAGAGAAAAGTTACGTGATAAGTTGCAAAAGTTATGTGCCTTACGTGATAAGTTGCGAAAATTATGTGCCAACCTAATATGTTTTTAATGCTTGAGTGGAATCTTTGAAAATCTTCCACCCTTTATGAGCATTAACACTTTTTCCTGAAGTCCTCAGGTGAAGGTCAAAATCTCTGCAAGTTGGGCTTTGAAGACTATACAGGCAGTAATGAAAGATGAAACTGCATCAATGATATAGATTTTTCTGCATTTCAGAACTACATATCTATACAAGAACTGATTCAAATAATCTCAGAGTTGCAATGTCTGTTCCGCAATTTGCATTCGTGAAAGCACTCAGGAAAAGTTTTTGACTCACAGAAGTTGCAAAATCGCTGGCAAACAAAGATCTGCACTTGCTTCACTGATTGACAAGGAAACCATGCCTTTTTACTAGTTTCTACACTTCTCTCGATTATTTCCACACACTGTCACGTGCAATATTAGTCTTCTCGTCCTTTAAGTGATGACTACTGTACGAGTGCTCACATCATAAAATGTTCTAGAAATAATTTCTACACTTCTCTCGACTTTTCGCAAACTTTCACATTCACTGAAGTCAATACTCTCGTCCTCTAAGTGATGGTGTACTGTACGAGTGCTCACGTCGTAAAATGTTCTAAAAATAATACTCACGATGAAATGACAGGACTTTCTGAAGAATGGACGCTATCTACAAGGATGTGACATTTTGATAAAAAAATTGTACTGCTGTTACCATCTGCAACTTTTGCAGCCACATTTTTTTTTTACCACTTGTCGTTTCGTCGCCGTCTCTAGCCTTGATAATTTGTCAAAAAAGTGGTAAAAAAAACCCACCTTCGGTTATGGAACCATCGCCGTCAGAATCGAAGTTGTGAAATTGTGTTTCGAGTTCTTTGAGGGTGGTGCGATGCACTGGAGGACATCGCATGTATCGAACAAACTCTTCTTTGCAGATTTTTCCAGACTCTAAAAAGGACGCTTGAGACATGTACTTTTCTTTTCTTTTTGCTCTTTTTATGTTCTTTTTTCGTTTTTACTTTTGCTGTACATTTATGTCCTACGTAGATAAATAATAAAATATTTTTTAACTGATGTTTGAGCCATTTGGCGCCAAACATGTGATCTCTGATCTCTAGCGCAACATGATTGAGGAGAATTGGGATGTACTAGCTCCCACTGAAATTTGCGAGCTAGTTAGATTTTCCGTGATGAGGATGCCTCCTAAGTAAGTGTTTCTACAATTTCTTTGCCTGGCAGGACTGAGAACTAAATAAGGAACTCTTATGGATCTTTTAGAACTAGTACTCTTTCATTGTTCATTCAATGAAGTAGAACACTTCCTCGGCTTCAGCTAGTTTTTCTCTCACTTCGGGAGACATGCGGGTGGGTATCTTTGGTTTCGCTGCTCTGACGAGGATTAGTGCGAAAAAGGCACGTTTGCTCGAATGTGTTCGAAAGCGGAAGAGGGTATTGAATTTCCAAATTCATAGCGTTCGCAAATTCGCAAACGAAAAGTTCAGATACATGCAATACGCACACGATATCTGAGTTTTTTTTCATTTGAATGTTTTATTAGAGTGTTTTTGTTCCAAAATTCGTATAGAAAGTGCATTCGGCTTGTACAGATTGCCGTACAAATTTCGCAACTGATAACTACGCAAAACGTACAATTCCACAAGCGGAAACAAACGTGACTAGTTCTCGCTATAGCTGTGAATCACGCGATTCGCTATGCAAAACTTGTAACTTCCCCTACCATCCGTGTCCATTTCCTTGAAAATGAAATCGAGTTCGACACGAGTCGGTTCCACCTTCACCGTTCGCAGCAGGGCCGCAATTTCATTGCGTGACAGTCGGCCATCCTTGTCGATGTCAAGAAGGTCGAACGTCTCGGATAGCTCTGAAATGGCAAGAGCATTAGCGGCAAGAACAAATTAGCGATTTGATTACCATAGCACTGCTGTGGAAATTCTACTAGCTCACATTAGTACAGAGTTTTATGGGTATTAAAGGCCGTTTCTGGGCAGATGAGAAGGCTGGATTTCAATGGAAAATGGCTTCTATGCACTTTTGTGAAAATTAGCGGTGACTCTATCTGCTTTTTATGATTCTATCTACCAAACAAAACAAAGCCAACATCAATGTTGACTCGGAAGAGCACAAAGATTCCAAAAAAATATTCTAGCAGCCAACAAACTCAATCCAAATCTATCCATGCCAAACATGCTCTCTTGATCTTATGTTCGTTATATCTTTTGGACATACCACATCATGCTAAGCCTTATGCTCATCATGTAAAAGCGCATTTCGTCCTGACTGCGTAGAGATTATTCTTTACTCCCTAGGGAGGTCGAAGCTTGGAGAAACCTGCATTCGAAACGAATTGCTCGGCCACGCGCAAAGAGAGTTCACGTCACTACTATTGTCGTACTTTCACCTGATTGTGATTTTTTGAATTTTGGGTGGGTGACGAGACCGATGAGTAAAATCTTACAATTTTTTCAAAGAATTTGCATTCACTTCGTAAAGGAACAGAGATCAGAAGAAGTTTTTACTTGTAAAAAACTAGTGAACCAGTAATAAGGGCTAGATTTGCATCCGCTCGCTTCGGGACCGCACCGCGGTTTTCCACTGTCTGATATTTTTTTAATTGGCGTTACGAATCTTTATATATTAGATTGCGCACTGTAAAAAAAATTCCCTTTCACATGTATTGTGCACAGGCAGACACTAAACTTTGCGAACTAATTAGCTATTTTTGGACACCTGGATGTTTACAGATGAAGACTAAAATGTAATCCCTTGATTTCTACTCAACTTCGGAATTATATTTTGATTATAAGGCATTTTCCAAAGTGCTTCCTCAGATCACAAGGCAGTAACACAACAATGAAATTCACTTCGAACTCACATGCTAGAAAGCAATTAAGCTTTTTATCTCGCTGAACCGATGTTTGAATAAAATGCAGTATGCAGCTAAAGTTTTGACTAGTTCACAGTAACTAAGAACTTTGGAAAAGTTAGCACACCAACGCTTTGAAAAAATTTTTTCTGATAATTTGCTTTGTGAATAGAGCTCTTAAATAACAATAACAGCTGTCAGTATTCTTTTCTAGCTGGTTTTCTTATATGTATGCCATCTGAAGAAGTTTTAGCCCAAACAGCTGACAAGTCAGTCATCAGAGTAGGCGGACATGTTCTTGACTTTCTGATATCATCTTCCATGAAATTTGAGCATTATTCTATGAAATACAGCAAAGTTATCCAAGAACCAGTCAGCTGTTTCGGAGGGGTAATTGACTTTTGGAGTACTTTGCAGGAAGTTTGCAGGCATTTGAAAACTTCCTGTAATTAGATATGAATACTTAATAGTTCATCAAAAATGCAGAAAGAGAGCTGTGCTAACAGAGTGGGTTTTCATAAGCTTTTACTGGATAAGATCCTGCTTATGTGAAACCGAAGGAGCCAAGGAAGTAAACAATATTTGCATTTTTGTGAATTTTCGATGAAGGCAAATAATCTCCAGTGGTGCCTCAGTAAAATTCTTTTTTTTTTCCGAAATGGCTTCTAAACCTTGCAAGCTAGATTACAAACATCAATGACCAGGGTAACCTAGCTTATTGTCTTTACAAAATAAATGACTAATTATCTACACATCAGCTTTTCTAAAGCATTTTAATAACACCATTTATATAGAATGATTATCAATCAACTAAAGGCGGGAATGCTATGCCTATCTTCAGAAGAGATTTGTGCAATAAATTCTGATGAAAAACACTTGCACTCAATCTAGCAGAGGATTTCTCTAAGAGCATTCGAAAGAATGGCGCAATGCTTTTTGAAGCGTGGATTAAATCCTTAGCTGATGCGATCGAATATGGTTGGATTAGAGCGACAGATGGAAAATGTTATATATTTTGGTGATTCGTCCAAAGGAGTGGTATTTTACAGTATCCACAGCAGCTTTTGACGATCTGGTAGATCAATTGGCTACGGTATCGCTAATAGATCAATGATCGTGATCTGGAAAGTCTAGAGCGTTCAAGGAGGTATCTAAGGTGTGATAGATCAACATTTTCGAAATGAATATCTAGGTAACTGCTGATATAACTTTTTTGCTAGTTTATGGAGAAGTTTTCTAGGTGTATTTTTATAGACGTCTTGTATTAGCAAGCTAATTTTCGAATTTTGGCGCATCATGCTCAGAGCAAAATATCAAAGATGCTTACTGCTTTTTCCCAGTGGATCCTTGATAAACAAAGTACTTACGGTTGTCACTGAGCACATATCGTTGACAGATGATGCCTGGGCCGGGCGGATAGGATTCGGCGATCATAGCCATTCTATCTAGTATCAAAAAATTTGCGAAGAACGGCGCGATAAGCGTCGAATCGAGCGCAACGACACCAGTAAAATGTGTGAAGCTTCGGAACAATTAGTGCGATGGGGGAAAAGATTTAGAAGCCGACACGACTGGCCGCACTTTGATTGAGGGGGACCGACCGACGGAACGAGCCAGAAACGAGCGAAGGCGTGGTCGCGACGCCTTCTCTCTCTTCTCGTCAGAGATACGCCTCCAATAAATAGAGCAACATTTCAAGTCTTCTTGACATATACAAGCACAGCATAAGGGCAGCAAATGAGGTCGGTGAAGCCGGAAGAATCATGATTTATGAGGGCGATCATGTTCTTCGAATGTAGCGGTGGTCTCAAGCCACCGCTTTGGGGCCCTTTATGTGTTTACATGCACGGCAACGCTACATGTTTGGAATACAAATGGCTATGTAAACCCTTTGCGCGGCAACTTTCAGAGTGCATTTTTACGAATGTTTGGATAGGGGGAAGGAAAAATAAGGTGATGCTATGCTTTTTTGAGAAATCTTCAACCAGCTCTATCTATATGCTAATTTCTCCACTTAAATAAGCAACAAACAAGGCGATTTTATTTCATAAACACTGTTTTGCCGCGCAGTGAAAATAACCATATAATATGCATAACAATTTTTTGCCCAGTAGCAGGGCTCTGCACGAGGTGGCTTTTGAAATTGCAAAAAATGAATTCTTCCTTGACTTTCGCGATACGAAGTACCCTTTGACCCTAACTTTAAACGTAAAAAATCTCTCAAAAAATAAAACGTCGACTAAAAAATTCGCAGTTTATGTATCTTACGGTCTTAAAAACGATATCCAGTTTGCTTACAAGCCACCTGTGGCGAGCCCTATCCAGAAGATGGCGAGCAAATTGCGCCAATTACACAAATAATTAGTTAATCTTCAGTAAAAATTCTCCAAGACTCTTTTTTCTATTTGTTTCTATCTTGTCTCTTCCTTTTTCTTTGCAAAATACTCACGAAAAAGTAATCTGTACAGAATGAAAACATGAAAGATCCACGAGAAGATATGCTCTAGAAAATAAGATTGATGGCTAAGTTGCCATAAACATTTCAAATTGTGTAATCCACCTGAAGCTTAGAGAAAACAATGGATGTTTTGGACATTTGCGGGATCTCAAAGTGTCCATCATCCTCGCGTATGCAATAGTACTTTTCCTTATTTCCATGAATAATATTAGCGAATACTGAGTGCGAAAAAGGATGATGGGTTCATTTCTCGCTATGGAACGAGGTAACGAGGTATGGAGGCGAACGGATAGATTAGATAAATGAGCTAAATGAGCCATTATAAGTTATCCAGTAACATAGTTGAGCTCTGAAAATGACGTAAATTCGCAAAAACCAATTTCGTAGAAGACTAAATATATGATGGATTAGTGGAAAACCATATGACGGAGAGTAAGAAAAACCTATTATGGCTAAAAATAAATTTATACTCTTTTAGGAAATGCGCATGACCAAACTAAAAGCATTTATTTGTTTATCTTGCGCAATTTAATACCTTTTCATATAATTTACCATTCCATTACGTATGAGGTGAAAACATCTATTAAAAAGATCTTAAATATTATGAGAAAGAAAACAGCATTGAAGAACAACCAGAGAGTAAGAAATAATGACTATTTGTTTCAGACTTTTGGAGTCCAGACACCCATATACTACATTATTCCCTAGACAATGTGACGGACTTCCCCCGCTTTCAATCTACTTCTCTAGGCCTGAACGTTTTTTGTAGTAGCTTGGACCGGATGAATCTTTCTGGCAAAACTCTCGAAAAGGCTTAGAGAAGAGCAACAGAATATCCTAATCTGGGAGAGAGGAATAGCTCGATTTCCAGGTAAAAAAAATCCAAGGAGATTTTTTGCTTGAATCTCAATGACTGCTAAGAAAGAGGATAATAGATGAGGCTTCTAAGCCTCCCATATGATTCTCTGTGAAGCGAGAATATAGGCACATTCATAAAAGGGAAGCCACCAAATTGGAACGATATATACGCCCTCTGGTATGGAATAAATAATGAATAATGCAAGCCTATCGTATCACATTTTCATTCAAAGCCGTTGCGCAAAGTACTTTTTGCAACGGCGTTTGCAAGAATTCAGTCTGTAGAGTTTTTGCATCAAAAATTCGCAAGGATTTTTTCGTACAGTGAAAAAGATGTCCACCGGGAAAGCTTCAAATTTACTCCAAATGCAGTTTGACGCACGTTGAATGCAATTATTTCTCGTTTGTGATTGAAGTAAGATGCGGACGCGTCCCAATTTTTTTTTAGCTGCAAGAGCTGGACCTTCCAACTATACTATACGGAACAAAAATGTCCAGGGAAATTTGGAACGAGTTTGATTTCGCTTTCGCTTTCCTTTTCTCAACTATAGTCAGTTAGCTGGAAAATAGGCTGCATCACTCTATCCAATTTCATTTTGCGACTTTTCCCGACGCTTAGTTAATCCAATCGGGGCAGATGCCAAGTTCCGAATGCATATTAGTCTATCAGACGGCCGAGGAATGCTGAGCATCTTCATCAGGATCAGATTCAATCAGTGCTCCTCAATTTGCACTCGACACCATAACCAGGAACTTCGAAAAGGAAAGTAAATAGGGTTATACTTTTTAGTGCACGAATGGGTCATAATCTCGACGCTGTTTGGAACATGCTGGGCAAGTGCATAGGGACTTCTATTTGTGACTGCGAAAACTAATTTTTCATATGTCACTTTATCAGCTGTTTGAAGAGTTCTTGACAGTTTGGTAGCCAAAAATATTTTGGATTTCTCTTCTCAAAGTTTATTCCTAACAAGCCAAGAAAAGTGAAGAGATTGTATCGGCATGATATATAGTCGTCATAGCAATTCTTGCTTACTTTGTAGTACCAGACCCACATTTACTTATTTATTAAAACGAAAACAAAATAAACCGTGAGAATAGAGTGGAAAGTAGGGGCAACTAGTAACAAAAAAAAACAACAAAAAACGAAAAAAATTACATTTGAATATTATAATCCACTTCTAGAAAGCTCTGAGTGCCAAGAATTGCAAAAGAAATTTTGTAATGAGGCAGCAGTATTTGGTTTTTATGTGATCTGCTACAGCAATTTTTTTTTGCAATTTCTGAGAGAGCTACTTTCCAAACATTTTCTCGCAACGGAAGGAAAACTGAAAACCAAAAACTCTCCCACCCTCCATGATGGAATCGGAGATGTACAACTTTTCTTTTTTAGTGTCTGCTGAAATACATGTCTCGAATGCATGAGGTTTTCCCACACATAAGGAAGAGCACCATAGACTTGAAAGGTGATAGTCGTATTTTTTGAATCGTACGTAATGCTCGAAAAGGTTTTGTTTAAGCGAAGAAGACATTTTTATTATTTATATGGTTGCGTATCAATCGATTATTTAACAAGTCTCGAGGGTAACGTGTTCTTCTGCAATGAGTTGTCAACATGCTAAGAAATGCAAGCGAAAAAAAAGTGTGCAGGAAAACTTAGCCAGAAAGAAAGAGAACTAAGGCTGCACGAACTAGTTAAATATGACTGTCGAGTCAAAACTTTGCATGCTTGATTAGCCGAAAAAAATGACAAAATTACCAGAGTTAGTCAGAAGCTTTAAAAAAAACACGTAAATTACATGATTTCGTTGATTGTGAAATGGCCCCAATCAAGCGTTTTGGCCTTTCGGTGAAGGAGGATGACATTCGTCGTAAGTATCTGGGACATGGGAAGCGGAATTTGCTATCGAATTACTTAACTTTGACTTTCTCACAACAAATAGAAACTGGGCTTGCAAGAAAACAAAAAGCAAAATCTTTCTTCATTAACGGAGAATTGTGATTGCAGTGAATTTTTGAAAATGGGAAAATAAAAAGAATGAGTTTTGGGTTGAAACAATCTTCCAAAGCAGAATTCACATCTGCAGTTCAACTGGATCAGCCACAATTACAAAAATTTCGTTACAACGTGTCTTGAAAAGATCAAGCTTTTTTAATATTCAATCTTCTCCTTTTTTTTACTTCGTCGATCTATATTAATAGGGAATTGCAATGAGTAGTATTCCACTCTTTGAAGAGAAAACGATAAAAAGTTTTGGTCTTTCTTAATACAGTGGCACTTGCCACGTTATATAAAAAGAGCGGGAATGACCCATTTCTATTGTAGTTCATGAACTCTGAGTGACAGTTTTAGATACAAAATTCATAACTTCAGAGCCTACGGTCTGCTGTATCACGTTTCCGATCCATGCAAACTGCATGGGCCTTCTAGATTTACAGAAAGATGGATTCTGAAGTAAAAGACGTTTTTTGGAAAAGAGTCTTGCTCTGGGCGATTGAGGCATTTTGAAATCATTTAAATCATGAAGAAAACAGCAATAATGTTTCTGATGACGTTCCCTCAAAGTAAATTGATATCAAAACTAGTCCTTAACGCAACATTGAGAGAACAAAAATTACGAAAGGGTTACTGAATAGAATAGAGAATAAGAACAGTTTTCTATTTCACTTTTTTTCATGAAATTGCGACCAAACTGCTGTGAAATTACACTTGAAGAAATCTTGTTCCACATTCAAGTAGAAAAACCGAGGTAAATTGCAGCACTCACCTTGTTCATTGTACGATTTCATGTTCTTGGACCGGGAAATACTGTATCAGAGCTTCCTTTCCTGAAAAAAAGTGTACAGGTTACCATTGAATGTATGAAGTAGATTTTGAAAAAAATGACTTCAAAATCGTGCGCAAAGAAGGTAATGGAATGAGAGCATTGTAGTTTCGTCTACTCATTGCGATTCTGAAGGAAGTGAAAATTGATGTTTTTTAGAATCAAAAAGTTTCTGAAAAATTAGGCGGTTCATTCGGAAAGGCTGATGAAATATAAATGTTTTTGCTGGAACTTTTTTTACTAATGACTTTGAGAAAAACTTGGGCATTGACGAGTTTTTTGCTCTAAGTTTTTCGTATCGCTGAAAAGGTCTTTCTTCAGAAGCGTTTGCGAAGGAAAATGGAAAGGAGTAATAAGTACATCTAGAAATTTCTTGTGAACAAACGTAATACGACAGAATAACAAGGGGTACTGTTCGATGTCAGTAAGTCATGTTCGCAGTATCATGTTATTTACATGATTTTCTCTGATTATGCGCACTAGGA